ATGTCATTATAAATACTTTATATCCACCAAATCTCAACGCCATCACCAACGTCCTTATCAAATGAACGCCGCATCAAAAGCGATTTTTCAGTTTTGACCGTTGTCCATTCCATTTCGTTTCGACCAATCAGAACATTATTCGTTACCCATTGACTGTGTCGTGAATGAAATGCAATTGAATCGTACAAAATAAAATATTGATGAGAAATTTTATTAGTTAATCACCAAATAAAATAAATTTCATCTCAACCACCATCGATCAATCAATCCTCATCATCCAGTTCATGTTCTAATGACGACAAATCAATTGTTGAGTCTTTCTTCTTGACTTTCTTCTCGTTTTCTTTGATTGTCATGAACGGTCCCGTTTTCAGCGCTGTTGAACTCACTAAAAGTTGCTGTTACAATCAGCAATTTCCAAAGTCATTGTTTGGCTCTGATATGATGCGTTCTCATTTTGTAATCGTATCCTCTATCAGTAATCGAATGAATATTGAGCACTTTTCATACTGATCGCGATGATCATTTAACCAAATTCTCATTAGAACACACGGATTTGTAATCAAGTCATCAATTCATAAATTATCCCTCAATACTTAACTCTCAACAAGAAACAATCTGCACAGTTATAATACATGTTGTTGTAATGTGTTACAATAAACACTAAAAAACGCTAGCAAATGAGTCAAGCATGTTTCATATACTCGATTGCTCGTATTCAAATAGCGAACAGAATGTCAAAATTATGAATTAAACACAAACAAAGAATATTATTTGAACTTCTTTTTGAAAACTTACTTGACTTTGTTTTGAGTTTTTTACGCGTATATGATGAAGTTTCAGTCGGCGTTTCCTTAAAAACAACTGCTCCATCTATACGAATTTGCAAAAGTTAATATTGTCAACAATGTTCCAATATTGGAGCGAAATGCGAGAATTTATATATTCTGACTTGAAATTAGACTAAACAAAAGTGGATAATTTACCTCGAAAACGCTCACCGCATCTTCACTGCGACATCGCACAGGGCATCGAGGATTCAACGTGCTATCTTGAGTTATATCAACTGCAATGAATGACTCTTACAATTAACTCATCACTGATTATTTTCAAAAAAAAAACTTTTCTCTTCCAAAATTTTTGAATAATTCAAAAGAGTCATGGTAAAAAAAAAGTAAATATTCAACGATACATACAACCGAATGATGATACTGAAAACTCACCAATATTAAAAACCATTTGAGCTGTATCGAACA